AACTAACATAGTGTTGTAGGTCAATTATACTTAAATTAAAAAAAAAAAGAAAAATAATAAATGGGAGAAGAACCTCAAAAAAACAAGATAGCAAACAATATTCATCAAAGTTGCTCAGAGACCCTTTTTTAAAATGTTGGTGTGCCACATGCTAGGACACAGATCCAATTATTAGGGAGTTTACATAGCTTCAGTGTAGCCCTTGTTAGCAAGTAGACTTTACATACATAAAGGATTCATATCAACATAACAATAAGAAAAATAATAAACATTTTGCATCAACTGTGAAATTCTGAAGACGTAAGCTGGAATACTGATCATGATGCTAATTTTTGCTAAATATTTCAAGTTTGGTACAAAGTAGAACTATATTTTTGGGCTTCCCTGGTGGCACAGTGACTGAGAGCCCACCTGCCAATGCAGGGGATGTGGGTTTGAGCCCTGGTCTGGGAAGATCCCACATGCTGCGGAGCAGCTGGGCCTGTGTGCCACAGCTGCTGAGCCTGCGCTCTGGAGCCTGTGGGCCACAGCTGCTGAGCTCACGTGCCACAACTACGGAAGCCCGTGTGCCAAGAGCCCGTGCTCCGCAATGGGAGAGACCACTGCAATGAGAAGCCCGCGCACCACAATGAAGAGTGGCCCCTGCTTGCTGCAGCAAGAGAGAGCCCACGAGCAGCAATGAAGTCCCAGTGCAGCCAAAAATAAATAACTAAAATAAATAAATTAAAAAAAAAGAACTATATTTTTAAAACAAACATTTGAGATAATTTGTCCTAAAAACAAAAACCTATCTTTATGTGCTAAAAAAAAAAAAAAAATTTAATAGCAGTAATTTTGACTGACTTACAAGTAATAATGTCTTAGATGTGAAAACATTAATTTTAGTATCATACCTCAAGGGTGATAATCTCTCCTTAGTTGTCTTAAAAACCTATTTGCAATAGAAGAAAAGAGTAAATCTTCAAAACGCCAGCAGCTCAAATAAAATTCACTTCCCTCAAAAAATAAAGATTAGTACAGAAATAAATGAAATAGAGATCAGAAAAACAGTAAAGGGAAAAAAATCATTGAAATTAAGAGTTGGTTTTTTGAAAATAATAACATTGACAATCCTTTAACTAGACTACTAAGGAAAACAGAGAGAAGACTCAAATAAGTAAAATCAGAAATGAAAGATGAGACATTACAACTAATGTCAGAGAAATAAAAATATTATAAGAAACAACTACGAACAATTATACACCAACAAATTGGACAATCTAGAAGAAATGGATAAATCCCTAGAAACATACAATTTGCTAAAACTGAATTATGAATAAAAATCAGAATAGACCTATAACTAGCATGTAGATTAAATCAGTGATCAAAAACCTCCCAACAAAGAAAAGTTGAGGACCATTCAGCTTCACAAGTAAATTCTACCCAGCTCTTAAAGAATTAACGCCAATCCTTCTCAAATTCTTATAAAATATTCAAGAGGAGGGAACACTTCTAAAATCATTTCATGAGGCCAGCATTAGCCTGATACCAAAACCAGAAAAAGATACTATAAGAAAAGAAAACTACAGGCCATATCTCTGATGAATATAGACTCAAAAATCCTCAACAAAATACCAGCAAACCAAATCCAACATCATATTATGACAGGTGCAGGGGCTTCCCTGATGGCGCAGTGGTTGAGAGTCCACCTGCCGATGCAGGGGGCACGGGTTCATGCCCCAGTCTGGGAGGATCCCACATGCCACGGAGCGGCTGGGCCTGTGAGCCATGGCCGCTGAGCCTGCGTGTCTGGAGCCTGTGCTCCGCAACGGGAGAGGCCACAGCAGTGAGAGGCCCATGTACCACAAAAAAAACAAACAAAAAATAAACAAAGAAAGGTGCATACACCATGACCAACTGGGATTTACTCCTGGAATGCAAGAATGCTTCAACTTATGAAAATTAACTAGTATGATAAACCACATTAAAATAACAAATGTTACAAATCACATGATCATCTCAATAGATGCAGAAAAAGCAATTAATAAAAATTCAACAACCTTTCACATGATAAAAACATTCTACAAATTAGGAATAAAAAGAAATTACTTCACTATAATAAAGATCATATATAAAAAGCCCACAGCTAACATCATACTCAATGGTGAAAAACTGAAGGCTTTTCCTTTAAGAACAGAAACAAGACAAAAATGCCCACTCTTGGCATTTCTATTCAACACAGTACTGAAGTCCTAGCCCAGCCATCAGAGAAGAAAAAAAAAATTAAAGACATCTAAATAGGAAAGGAAAAAGTAAAATCATCTTTGTTTACAAATTCCATGACCTTAAATACAGAAAACTCTAAAGATTACACAAAAGAACTGTTAGAACTAAGAAATAAATTCAGCAAAGTTGCAGGATACAAAAGTCAATGTGTAAAAATCAGTTGCATTTCTATAAACTAATAATGACCAATCCAAAAAGGAAATTAAGAAAACAATTCCATTTACAACAGAATCAAACACAATAAAATACTTTAGGAATAAACTTAATAAAGGGAGTGAAAAACTTATACAATAAAAAGTACGAAACACTGCTGATAGAATTTAAAGACACAAATAAATGGAAAGACATCCTATGTTCATGGATTGGAAGACTTAATATTATCAAAATGCCCATACTATCCAAAGTCATCTACAGATTCAATGTAATCCTTATCAAAATCCCAATGGTAGTTTTTGCAGAAATTGAAAAATTCACCTTCACATTCATATGGAACTACAAAGGATCCTGAATGCTCCAAACGATCTTGAGAAAGAATAACAAATTTAGAATCCTCACATTTCTCCATTTCTAAACATATTTCAAAGCCATAGTAATCAAAAAATTATGGTAGTGGTATAAAGACATACATGTAGTCCAGTGTAACAGAATAGATAGCCCAGAAACAATCCCATCAACTGATCTTCCACAGGGTCCCAAAAGAACACAAAGGAAAAAAGATAATCTCCTCAACAAATAGTACTAGGAAAACTGGGTGTCCACATGAAAAAGAATGCAAGTTCATCCTTAACATACACCATACACAAAAGTCAACTCATCACAGATTTAAATGTTTAAGCTTTGAAACTATGAAACTCCTAGAAGAAACCATAGAGGAAAAGCTTCTTGGCATTGACATTGGCAATGATTTCTTGGATATGACACCAAAACAACAGGTAACAAAAACAAAAATAGAGAAACGGGATTACGTAAAACTAAAAAGCTTCTGCACAACAAAGGAAACAATCAAGAGAGTGAAAAGGCCACCTACAGAATGGGAGAAAATACCTGAAAACCATATATATAATAAGGGATTAATATTCAAAATATATAAGGAATTCCTACAACTCAATAGCAAAAAACCCAAATAACCTGATTAAAAAATGGTCAAAGGATCTGAATAAACATTTCTCCACAGACAACACACATATGGTCAACAGGGATATGAAAAAATGCTCATCATCACTAATTGTCAGGAAAATGTAAATTAAAATCACAAGGAAGTATCATCTCATGCCTGTTAGTATGGCCATTATTAAAAAATAATTTTCTTAAAACAACCCAGAAAATAACACATGTTGACATGTATTTGGAGAAACTGGAACTCCTGTGCATTGTTGGTGTAAATTTAAAATGATTCAGCCACTGTGGAAAACAATATAGAGGTTCTTCAAAAAATTTCAAGTAGAACTATCATATGATCCAGCAATTCCACTTCTGGGAACTGAAATCAGGATCTCAAAGACATATCTGCACACCATGTTCACTGCAGTACTGTTCACAATAACCAAGAGGTGGAAACAACATAAATGTCCATGGACGAATAAATGGAAAAATAAAATGAAGTAAACAAGAATATTGTTCAGTCATAAAAAAGAGAAAAATCCTGTCGTATGCTGTAACGTGGATGAACCTTTTACATTAAGTGAAATCAGCCAGTCACAGAAGGACAAACACTGCTTGTTGCCATTTACGTGAAGTATCTGAGAGAGTCAAACTTATAAAAACAGAGAGTAGAAAGGTGGTTGCTAGGGGCTGGGGAGAGGGGGAAATGGGAGAACTGCTGTTCATGGGGTATTGTTTGTCATGCAAGACGGAAAGTTTCTACAGATCTACTGTACAACATGGTGCTTATAAAGTTTATAATACTGTACTATTCACTTAAAATTTTATTGAGGGAAATCTCACATTGTTTTTTATCACATTAAAAAGAAAAAGTATTTCCAAGCTTTCCTTCAAGGTGGGAACTAGAGTCCTGTTGGGACCTGGGACGTGGTGTACTTATTCCAGTCAAGACACAACTTTCCCATCTCCACACACACAGAGCTAGGGAGGCGGAAGCTCCAGGGACTAGCCTTCAAAGGTCAGAATATATAAACTTGATACCAAACTAATTTCCAGACTTGGGGATTAGAAGAAAGGACCCTGACAGGAAATGGTATGGTCAAACACCTACCCAGGTAACTGGAATACATTTGCAGTGTTAAATACCAGGACTTGAAAGAAAATGTGTTTCTAGATTTAGGTAGGATCTAAATGAAGATAAATAACTAAATAAATGAGAGATAAAACTAATCTATAGTATAAATACCCATTGAAACAAGTGTTACCATAATCTGAACCTGAATAGACAATATGAAGTCTAACTTATCAACTTATATTCAACATTTCTAATTGAATATAATTAGAACACAGCTCATCCACTCCCTCTGATCACATACACTCACATATACATGTATATAACCTTTTATATTTATAAAATGTAATATATATACATATATATATATAAATAATTTCCAAAACAATTTTTGCACCAGAAACAAAAAAAAAAATCTAAAAGAGAATTTAGATATCAATTAAACAGTCTTTTGGGTGTTTGATGTGGCCTCTTGGTACAAAGTGAATATTTTCTAGGTAACCTGTCTAATTATCACTTCATAAAGTTTTACGGGCTTCATTTTTTATGTATCTACTTTTACCTTTTGCAAGTAAAGAACTGTTCCCTTTAGTACAGCATAAAAGGTCTTCCATCCTCGCTTTCCTCTTGGAGCTAGAAAGGGAAAAAAATTGAAAAATTTTATTTGATGGAAATTTGCGTTTTTCGAAGGAGAACCTAAAAGGTCAACATGGTGATTATGCTTCAATGTTCCTGGTTTATTTGCTACTGAGACTAATAATAATGAGAACTAAAATTTTCTTGAGCCTTACTGTGTAACAGGCAGTATTATCTCATTTAATCCTCACAATAACACTGTGAGGTAGGTACTATTACTCTTGTCTTTTTATAAAACTGAAGCACAGAGAAGTACCCTGCTTATGGTCACATAACTAGGAAGAGGAGAAGCAGGACTCTGAGCCCAAGCAGCAAGGCTCTGCGGTCCGCACTCCAGTAGAGATGACTAAAAGGCTGAAAAAGCAAGAGGCATATTGGAAATACACATTAATCTAAGGGCTCACGAACCAGAGCCTTCATGGCTTTGTCAAAGTTTCCAGGAGTCATAAGAAAAAAGTCCCGGAATATAAAAGGACTCCTCTTGGCCTTTCTCCCAAACATCCACCAGCTGGACTGTAACTTTAATTATTATTACTCCTGTGGCAATTTGTGATACCTCTGCTGCAGATCATGCTGCCCTGTAACATAATTTTTTTTTGTCTAAATGTCTCTTTCAGTAGACTGTGAATAACCTGAGAACAGATATCCTTCATCTTCAGAATTCACAGAACCTAGCATAGTGCAAGGCAGACATTAGGCACCTTTATAAAAATTCTCCAAACTAAGTTTCTTCCGGAAGTCCTTACATTTCCTTTATTTATATTTTCCTGGAGTATAAAGTAGAATTTCTCTATTGACTTATATAAAACCTTACAGATTGTCCTAAAGTAAAAGTACAGATTAGCAAAACAGTTTACTATTTATTCTTAATCTTGATAAAATTAAAATCTGTAACTGGAAAAGGTTATTACCTGAATACCATTTCTCTAAACATGTCTACCAAATATGCAGGAAGGGCCATTTATTCTTATTCTGTTATCAACTATTTGGCTGCCTTTAGGCTGTCTTTAACCTGGATGCCTGATTAAATTAGGAAGTGCATTATTCTTAAGTAAATCTTTTAAATCTCCTTTGACTGAAGAATCCTTAGGCTTGGAAAGTAGGTGAATAGCCACCTACAGAACACGGGTGCTCCTGCCAACACCATACTGAGATATCCACCTGGCAAAATAGGACTCAAAACATCCACTCTGTAGGCTTCCAGGGGAAATAAAAAAATTTCATCCCATCTGTTTCCATCACGTAAGGTTTTAAAGTGTGTATTCAAAAATAAATGATCAAAAAATGTATACCATAATCTTCTTTTTTTAAAACATTTATTTATTTTATTTACTTTTGGCTGTGTTGGGTCTTCGTTGCTGCACGTGGGCTTTCTCTAGTTGCGGCGAGCAGGGGCTACTCTTCGTTGCGGCGTGGGGGCTTCTCATTGCAGTGGCTTCTCTTGTTGTGCAGCATGGGCTCTAGGAGTGTGGGCTTTAGTAGCTGTGGCTCGTGGTCTCAGTAGTTGTCGCTCGCGGCTCTAGAGCGCAGGCTCAGTAGTTGTGGCACACGGGCTTAGTTGCTCCGCGGCATGTGGGATCTTCCCGGACCAGGACTCAAATCCTTGTCCCCTGCGTTGGCAGGTGGATTCTTAACCACTGAGCCACCAGGGAAGCACCATAACCTTCTTTATAAAGAAAAACAAGTGGCTACTATAAAGAAAGCCATAGATCATCATACATATCTATATCTATATCTCTCTCTATATATATATGAAATAAATGTTGACTGCCTTTTTCAATAGATGTCAAATTCTGATCTGGGCCATGTGAGAGCAGGGCACACAGAAGTGGCCCCGGGTTGCAGGAGCTGCTGCAGAGCAGGACAGAGGCAGCTGGTGTGGTGGAGGTACCTGCTGGAAGGCAGACCAGCTGGTCTCTAGACCTTGTCTCAAACCTCTCCTCTCACCCACTAACCCTAATTCGGTAACTCCCGACCAGTCTCCCAACCTCTCAGGACTTCAGCTGCTTCATTTTAAAATGTGGATAATTCATATAACTTAAGGCAAAGCACTGGCTAATGCTGGAGAAGAACTTAGAGAAACCCTTCTGTTTTCTATAGCAGGAACACAGGTCCTGGATTTGAAAGGCTTTCCCCAAAGCCCTAAAACTAATTTAGTGGCATCTTGAGATTCCTTCAGTCTAAAGATTTACAAATCCAGTTTTCTGCTTTTCAAGTAGAAATCTATTAATCTGTTACCAAGGTTGTTGCCCAGAATCATAACCCTGCCCCTCCCTCAAATGCAAACCAATTGCTCTTATCTAAGTTTCAGGAGGAAGCTGCAAGGAGAAAAAGAAGAACTGGTCAGAACCAACTAAGCCCAAGATGGGGGAAGATTTGACTTCCAGTGACCTTGAGCCAGATTAGCTAATCGACACACCCACTGGCACCAGGATAGTTGACAACTGCCATGACAACAACTGGAAAAGCCCATACAAGGACTTTCAAAGGAGTGCTGCATCAGGTCTGGATCCAAACCACACCTCTATTCATGAATATTCCTCCCTCTCTTTCCAATTCCCTCCCTTTTACCTGGACCCTCCTATGCCTGAATTGGGTTGAGAAGTTGATTTGGGAACCGAGTTCTGGCTTCTTTCCATTCTTTGGCCATTGAATAAAGGCTGTGCTGTCCCAGGCTCTTCATTGGTTTCATTAGTGGCTGTGTGAATCCGAGCAGAAAAAGAACCTCCTTGACGGCGACAAGGAGTCTCCACCCGGGTTAGGACCCCAGTGTGGGTCTAGTCCACCAATTTGGTAACAAATTCGTGTACATGTTCACAAAAACTTTTAACAGATCTTCATCTTTACCACACTAAGCCTCCTAGAAATGGATCCCAAAGATCTCTCCAACCAAACTCTGATCGCAAGTCACCTGTGGGTGACCAATGCTGAGTCAGGGAGCATTAACCCTGTGTGCCATGCTCTATTTTTCCAGCTCCCACAGAAGTATAAAACTTAATCTTGTTTTTGGTCAATTATAACTTAGTTCTTTAACGCACACCACAATGCTAAAAATAAGACACTAGTATTGCCTCCATTTTACAGTGGAATTCAGGGAAGAAAGGGACCACTGTGCACTAAACAGAATGGGAAGGCTGTAGAGGCAGCCTCAGCGGCCCTGATTTTAAAGCCACACACACACAGTGCGGCTATGGCTTTTGCACCCTTGGTGAGGCTTGCCACGTGAAACACAAGGGTTGGACCCCATTGAATGAGGAGGATTGTCCCTCATAATGACAACTGTAGAGGGAGTTAAATCTGACATCATAGAACATACATTATTAAGTATAGAAGGCTGGGGAAAGAGCTGTAACTGCAGTTACATAATGAACATGGTGGAAGCAATCAGTGAAGTTACTGATTGGAAACTGGATGTATCCTACTGCAAGGCTCTAACTACAAGGGTGGTAGCGGGTTGGTAGGTAGATGCATTTTAACAAATATCTGGGTGCCTACTGTGAAAAGGTGTTTGCCAAACTTGATCAAAAGATACCGTTTTGTGCACTAGACTATGCTTCCATGGCTATTTTTAACATGCATACCCAGAGTCCAAAGACTGCTTTCCTTCTTCTTGAAAACAAAAGAATCTTGGCATATTTTAACTCATCAACTGTCTCCAACCTTACATGATAACAGTGTCTATTACTTTTGTCTTGTTTAATACTACTGAAGTAGACATTTTGTATAAATTGCCACTGTCTGCTTAGATTTTCCCTCATGTTTACTATAATATTACCTTTATTTGTTACTTCTGTAACTCAGGTTGTTTTTGGAGGCCATTTTCAACTACTTCTTGAAATCTATACTTAGAAGTTCTTTTAGTGAGGGTCTTTTCGTGGCAAATCTTTTTCTGTTTTTCTTCATATGAAAATGTCTTTATTTCATAAAAAATTCTAGGGACTTCCCTGGTGGCACAGTGGCTGAGAATCTGCCTGCCAATGCAGGGGACACGGGTTCGAGCCCTGGTCTGGGAAGATCCCACATGCCACGGAGCAACTGAGCCCGTGAGCTACAACTACTGAGTCTGTGCTCTAGAGCCCGCAAGCCACAACTACTGAGCCCGTGTGACACAACTACTGAAGCCTGCGCACCTAGAGCCCATGCTCCACAACAAGAGAAGCCACTGGAATGAGAAGCCCAAGCACCGGAAAGAACAGTAGCCCTCGCTCGCCACAACTAGAGAAAGCCCGTGCGCAGCAACAAAGACCCAACGCAGCCCAAAATTAATTACTTAATTAATTTAAAAAAAGTCTAGGTGGACAATTACTTTTTCTCATGAAGACATTACTTCATGTTGTTTATGTACAGGTTTCTTCACGTTTATCCAGCTCTGGGCTTCTCAGGAATCATTTCCAAACACTTGCAGTCATCATATGTTTGAATACTGTCTCTCCATTGTCTCCGCTATTTAAACGTCTGATACTCTAACTTCTCAGTCTACCCCACAGGCGTCTTCACTGCTCCTTCATACTCTATCTTTTTGTCCTCTGTGGTAAAAGGACAAAGATGTCCTGAGGGCTTAGCAGTCCCAGGGCTATCTCACTTCCTAGATTCGTACTCATTTCCCTTTCATTGTTACAGGTTCATCCACTCATTTAAAAGGTGTTTAAAAATATTTTAATCACTTTTAGATGTTTCATAATGTATGAATTTTGGAATTTGTAGGCCATCGTGTTGCCAAAAAAGAGTTTCCCATTCTTTCTTTTCTTTTGAAGAATTCATTCACAAATTTTATAATCTAGAATTCATTTGAAGCAGGATAAGGAGATAGGAGCGGAGGACAGGATGAGAGAAACTAGAACAAGGAAGGAGGCTGTTACAATCGCCCACATGAGAGAAAAAGCCCAAAATACGGATAGAGGTGCACAATAAAGACAAAGAAATGGAAAGAAAGGGGAAGGCAGCAGTGCTAACTGAGCACCTATACTACGGTGCTCTGAGCACTGGGCAAGCATTAT